TCGTCAATGTGCTTACGGCTTTTGACTAATTGCTTATTGTATAAGGTCTCTTAAACCCTCAAAACGCTTTAACCCTAAGCCCTTAAACTTAAATTCTTCAACCCTAAACCCTTAAACCTTATACACTAAACTCTTAACCTCTTAACTTTTAAACTTAAATCTCTGAAGCCCTAAATCTTTAAGCCTTCAAAGCTTCGTTTTCAGTGAAAACAATTTTGACTGTCTGGATATCATTACGTATGTAAAATGAATGAAAGCCTCTAAACCGCGTCAAGGTAACAGTCACGAAAGAGGTTTGTTTTTTTGTTTTTTTTACTTTTTTATTTTTTTATTTTTTTTCTAATTTTTAATTTTTTTTCTAATTTTCTAATTTTTTCTAATTTTCTAATTTTTAATTCAAAAACTGTCGCTTAGATATCGCAAATAAATGTATTGAGCTTTTGTACCCATGTATTGTACCCATGGTACAAAATGCCACCCACTGTACACAAAGTCCTCCTTCATGGATGTGATATCATGAAAAAATTAAATAGTCCGATGATTTGGTTCTCTGAAGAACCCCAGGAAGCTAATAATAAAGTATTCAGAAATGCACGTATCGGACACAGTAGGATGTTTCAAAGATTTGAAATAAACGAAGATATAATTCACCAGTTCATTACATCAGATCCCGTAATTACCTCCTTGAGAGAAACTGAGAGAAAGAAAAGTAAGGAATTATCTCATGAAGTGAAACAATTTTTAAAAAAATAATTATACATTAGAAGGTGAGGAAAAAGTAAAAACATAAAACTATTAATGAATAAAGTAATAAAATCAGTTAAGAAAAAATACAAAACCTGAAAAAAATGACAAAGCCAAAAAAATAAAAAAAAATTAAAAATTAGAAAAAAAATAAAAAAATAAAAAAGTAAAAAAAACGAAAAACAAACCTCTTTCGTGACTGTTACCTTGACGCGGTTTAGAGGCTTTCATTCATTTTACATACGTAATGATAACCAAAGACAGTCAAAATTGTTTTCACTGAAAACGAAGCTTTGAAGGCTTAAAGATTTAGGGCTTCAGAGATTTAAGTTTAAAAGTTAAGAGGTTAAGAGTTTAGTGTATAAGGTTTAAGGGTTTAGGGTTGAAGAATTTAAGTTTAAGGGCTTAGGGTTAAAGCGTTTTGAGGGTTTAAGAGACCTTTTGCTTTTGCTAATTGCTTATACAATAAGCAATTAGTCAAAAGCCGTAAGCACATTGACGAATCATATTCGATTATTTTTTAAATTATCGACTGTGGTTGGTCAATTTGCTTACGGTTTTTGACTAATTGCTTATTGTGGAAGACTTCCAAGAATTTAAAGCTAAAGGTTCTACGTTTTAAATATTTAAGAGTATATGGTTGATATATGAGTTTTAGGTTTACTCGCATTTGATCATCTTTCTTTAATGTAGGTTTAACGATAACTAAATTTCCGCAGTACCAGCTTAAAGTATAAGTCTTTACGAATATTTAAAAAAAAAATAATTCAATTTCATGAAAAATTGCGCTCTAACAAGATTTTTGTCCAAAAAGTGAGCGAAATTTTCCACTATGCGCCGGTGCGAGGGAATGGTCGTTTCCTTTAGAAAATTCGCTAACTGCGACTTACGGGGATTCGGACCCCACAACCCGCTGGATGATGGGCTCGTACACCGTCGTCGCCGCCAGATATTCGTCTGCAAGCTCTAAAACTTTTATGTATTTGGTGGAGAATAATGATATCAAAAATTTGAAAGTCTCATTTGCGAAACTCCATCGCATTTCATTAATACGCAAATAGATTGAAATCTCATAATTTTTAATTAAATAGCTGTTTGTACTATATATTTACTATATATATTTACATTTGTTATTATATTTTTATTTATAAATTGCCCGATTTGTGTCGTGTTTGATGTTTTTTTAATGATAAAACATGTCATTAAGCCATTGCAATTATTATAAAACAGGTAAAATGCGATACATAAAAGTTGTAATTTTCATGTCAGAAAATATTTAAATGCCTGAGTTTCTTACTACCGATAGATTCCCGACGTTGTGGAAGCGAGACCGAAAACGAGTAGAGGAAGCGAGATGACACTTCCTCAATAAGTGCCGAAGCTCGCGGCGATCTGTTTACGTATCGCTTTTCATAGTGACATCTCACTTGCTCTTTACTGGTTCTCGCTCTCGCTTTCGCGACATCGGGAATCTCTCCGTAGCAGTGAAGTCACGAATTTAAATACCTCCTAATATGAAAATTACAACTTTTATGTTTTGCGTTTTATCAATTTAAAAATAATTGCAATGGCTTCATGAAATATTTTACCATTAAAAAGACACCAAACACGACACAAATAGGACAATTTATAAATAAATATATTGTAATAATAAATATTATAAATAAATATACAATATAATACAAATGTAAATATATAATACAAACATCTATTTAATTAAAAATTATGCGATTTCAATCTATTTGCATGTTAATGAAATGCGATGGAGTTTCACAAAAGAGACTTTCAAATCTTTGATGTAATAATTTTCCATCAAATATATAATAAATCTTAGAGCTTGCGGACAGATATCTGGTGGCGGCGACGGTATATGGTCCCATCACCCGACGGGTTGGGGTTCGAATCCCCTCCGTAAGTCGCAGTAGCGATTGTTCTACAAAAGACGACAAAATCCATTCTCTCCCGTCCCGGCTGGGATTAGGAAAATGTTGTCGCGGCCACAAAGGGCCCCGCACGCCCAAGTCAAAAATGGGGAGATATAATAAAATACGTTTCCCGCACCAACCGGGGTATGTATTCCTGCAGCCTACGCACCGGCTGGCTATGTCTGTGCTCCTGATACCGCCGCCAGATATCCGTTCTTTTGCAATTTTTTTTTAAGAAAACTGTCAGATAATAAATTCATATGTTGAATGCTGAAATAATCAAATTGCTTATATATCAATAATGTATATGTGTACTCCATATGCTATTATCACCATGTACACAACATTCTTCATATAATATTCGCAACTTTTTTATTGCAGTATTCAGATTGTTACATCACACAGATTGTGCAGACACACATATACACACACACACATACTGACAAAAAAAACTTTCTTCTTATTTCTTTTTATTTCAAGTTTTACTTTTTATTTATTTATATATTTTGGTTTCCGAAAAGATTAAAATAAATAAAATGTATGATTTGATAACCGCACATGTGAAAATTGTTGCTGTTGTTGTTAATTGCATGTTGCAATAATTGCAATGTTCAATTTTAAGTTTTACAAAAAGTTGAAAGACAAAATGTTAGTTTTATACATATGCATGTACATATGTGTGTACATATACAGAATGTCCTATTTTAAGAAATATACATAAACATTATTGACACATAAGCAATTTGATTAATTCAGCATTCAACTTGTGAATTTAATATCTGCGTTTTCTTAAAAAAAAAATTGCAAAAGGATATCTCGCGGCGGTATTAGGGGCAGGAACGTAACCCAGCCGGTGCGGGAGAGGGTGCAGGAATATACTTTCCCGCCGATGCGAAGGCTGCAGGAATATTTCTCGTCGGTGTGAAAAATCGCTACTGCGACTTACGGGGAGGATTCGAACCCTAGCCTGTCGAGTGATGGGCCCGTACCCCGTCGCCGCCGCCAGATATCCGTATGCAAGCACTAATACTTATTACGTATTTGATGATGAATTATGACATGAAAGATTTGAAAGTCTCTTTAGCGAAACTTCATCGCACTTCACTAATACGCAAATAGATTAAAACCGCATAATTTATAATTAAATAGATGTTTGTATTATATATTTACATTTGTATTATATATTTTTTTATAAATTGTGCTATTTGTATCGTGTTTGGTGTATTTTTAATGGTAAAACATCTCATGAAGCCATTGCAATTATTTCTAAACGAATAAAACGCGAAACATAAAAGTTGTAATTTTCATACTAGAAGGTATTTAAATTCGTGAGTTCACTACTACGGAGATATTCCCGATATCGCGAAAGCGAGAGGGAGAACGAGTAAAGAGCAAGCGAGATTTCAGTACGAAAAGTGATACGCAAACAGATCGCCGCAAGCTTACGCACTTTTTGAAGAAGTGTCAACTCGCTTCCTCTTTACTCGTTCTCGCTGTCGCTTCCGCAACGTCGGGAATCTAGCCGTAGTAAGGTACTCACGCATTTAAATATTTCCTAACATAAAAATTATAACTTTTACGTTTCGCATTTTACCCGTTTTAAAAAATAATTGCAATTATTTTTTATATAATAAAATGTGAAAGAAAAGTTTTAACTTTTATGCCCAAGGCTGCCAGATATAAAATAACAATGAGCGAGATTCTCACGCTCGTTTAGAAGAATAGAGCATATATTTGTATACATGTGTTTTTGGTATACTAATGGTAGTGTCGCGATCATGCAGAGTGATAAGGAATTATGTGGCAACGTCGCACGTGCTTGAAGTCGGGAAACTCATATACATACAATGCAAAAACTTTCGTTTTATGATTGTGTGTCGTATTCCGAACCGGCCGATATTCTCTTGTTTAGAAACAGTCTCCAAAAAGAAGATCGTGTGTCTTCAGTTAGTTCAGTGCCTACGTGCGAGCATCGAGCATCCCAGAGCAAACATGACGAGATGTAAGTCTACAATGTCTACATTATAGTAATTATATTTATATTTATTTATTATATACATATATATGTGTTCTTAATAATGTATGTATTATTAATAAAGTTCGTTAAATTGTAGCAAAAAGTGAAGATTCTCTGAAAAAAAACCGTCGTCGTCTTCGTCGTCGTCGTCGTCGGCGGCGACGGCGACGAGGACGAAGACGATGACGGTGATGACGACAACGACACAGGCGACGGCGACGATGGCGACGGCGACGGCGACGACGACGACGATGGTAATTATGCCGACGAGGACGACGATGACGACGACGACGACGACGACGGTGACGACAATAATGACGGCTACGATGCCGCCCGTGCAGCATCCCATAATACGGGCGGGATATGTTCCTGCGGCCTCTGCACCGGCAGAAAATATTCCCGCACCGAGGCCACCATTGGATTCACTAACGCAAATAAAGGTGAGTTTCCGTATGCGTGCGTGTGTCATGCGTGCGTGCGTGCATGTGCGTGAGTCAGTGAGTCAGTGAGTGTGTTAGTGAGTCAGGTGTGTGTGTGTGTATGTGCGTGCGTGCATGTGCGTGAGTGAGTGAGTGTGTCAGTGAGTCAGGTGTGCGCGTGTGTGAGCGTGTGTGCGCGTGTGTGCGCGTGTGTGCGCGTGTGCGCGTATGCGCGTGTGTGCGTGCGTGTGTGTGTGTGTTATGTAATGTGATAAATTCAAATGTAATGAACTTAATTAAAAGTTGATATGTTTTTTTGCAGATAGAACATCATGCTGCTAGGAAGGTGATGCAGCGGCTTAAGAAAATGTTACCACGCTCACAATGGCCCGTACGCCAAGGCACGCGCAGATATCCGGCACCGACTTTCCGCACACCTTTTATACAAGCAGGATATGGTCTTGCTGCTTTCGCACTGGCGGGCTATGTCTGTGCAGCCTCCGCACCGGCGGGCTATGTCTGTACAGCCTCCGCACCGGCGGGAAATATTCCTGCAGCCTGCGCACCGGCGGGTCATGTCTGTGCAGCTTCAGCACCAGCGGGAAATACTCCTGCAGCCTTCACATCGATGGGAAATATTCCTGCAGCCTTCGCACCGGCGGGCCATGTCTATGCAGCCTTCGTACCGACGGGAAATATTCCTGCAGCCTGCGCACCGGCGGGAAATACTCCTGCAGCCTTCGCAGCAGTGGGAAATATTCCTGCAGTCTTCGCACCGACGGACCATGTCTGTGCAGCCTCCGCACCGGCAAGAAATATTCCTGCAGCCTGCGCACCGGCGGGCAATATTCCTGCAGCCTGCGCACCGGCGGGTCATGTCTGTGTAGCTTTAGCACCGGCGGGAAATACTCATGCAGTCTTCACACCGGTGGGAAATATTCCTGCAGCCTTCACACCGGCAGGAAATATTCCTGCAGCTTCCACCTTGGCGGGTTATATCCCTGCACTCTCTGCACCGGCTGGTTACGTTCCCGCATCAACCGGATATTTTTATTCAAAATAAAATTAAAAAATTATAAAACAAATAAAGTATAACCGTCGACTTGTATATGATTATATATATATACATATATATATAATATATAATAAAATTATTATTATATTAAAATTATATAGTATATAATAAAAAAATTAATTGTACTGTGGTGGAACGACATAACAAAAATGTGAAAAACACGCAGTCGGAGAAGCTTATAATACGCGTGGCGGCTAAGGCCGCACGAGTCGCACTTCTCCAAAGCTCCGCTAGGCGGCGCCGCGACGACTGTACATATTCGGGCAGAAATTCACACCAGCACCCCTATATCAAGCGGCCACAGCGGGTGGTTATCAGAGAGAAAACCATACTCTCCAGACACTGCGGAAGTGTCCATATATGCTGAATAAGCATACATGCTGAATAAGCATACATGCTGAATAAGCATACACGCTGCACAAGTGTACACGCTGCACAAGCATACACGCTGCACAAGCGTACACGCTGCACAAGCGTACACGCTGCACAAGCGTACACGCTGCACAAGCGTACACGCTGCACAAGCGTACACGCTGCACAAGCGTATACGCTACGTAAGCATCTTAGAGTCTAACGCTGTGAAGTGTTAGGTAATCTGAGAAGCAACGTCGACCTAGAAAGGCCCTCTCACAAGAACCCTGAAGGAGCCAATAGACGTGCGCTCCCCGACAAGGGAACGTAAGCACCGACATCCCAAGAAGGGAAAACGTTCCCGGCGGAAGCCTCGCAGTCCAGCCTCTCCTGGAGGAATAGGCTCGGCACCACGGACACCGGAGTTGCCCGAACGTCCACCGACGCCGGGGGCGTTCAGATCTAGGTTCTCCTCCTCACCAAGGCGGACACCCTCTCCACCAACAGCACTTGCAGAAGAGAGTAAGGGAATCACCTTACTTCCGTGGGTGCTGCAACCATTAGAGGTTCACAAACCTCTCATAACGAGACCACCTCTACTAACGCTACAACGAGGTGACTCCCGCAACGGATGACCTTTATCTCCACGCCGTGCAGAGGTTAGGACCATCGACCAAGGCACCCAGACGGAATCTACGGCACTGTCCCCAGAACCAGCCATTCGACCGACCATAGAAAAGGTCCTCCGGAAAACCACGTTAAACGTGGCTGCCAGACGTAGGCTCAGACGGGCCAAAATGTTTTATTAACACTGACACGTGGACCCATATATATTAAGTCTAAATATACTAATATGTAAACTAAAAAAAGGCACACCACTCTTTTTTTCGATCACCGAACCTACGCCCGCAACACAACCTCCAAATGTACAAATTTTATAAATTTATTCGTCCTGCCCCCTCTCCCTGCACCATCTCTTTTTCTCTTTGTTGCGGGTTGAATCCGAATCGTTAACCCGTTGAACGCCGGGATCACCCAGATCTTGGGTTCGAAAGCGAATGCGGCTGGAGCCGACCGGAGTCAGGCAAAGGATAGGACCGATCGGTTCTCTGGGCAATAATTTGTTCGAGTCTCTTTTTCCGATGCGTTTTATTTTACTTTGACCGTACAGTGGCTCGCAGATCGCGGACAATGAAGTCGCGCATCAATAACGAGACGACGAATGTAATCACGCGCCGGAGCGACGCGTTGTAGAGATTCGACGGTAGCCGAGCGGAACTCGAGAGAATTGAGTTCGAAAGCTGAAGGCTACTGAACTCTCTCGTCACGATATCGACCGTGATATTTATAATTTTATATCTCTGATGCGGCTTAAGCCGATTGGCAGATTTGTACAAATCGTTGTTTGGCTGACACAAAGATCTTGGCGGTAAATACATTGTTTTGCCGTTAGTCACGAGACATTAGACTGTCGCAAGTTTCCTCTGATGGAGAGTGTTATTGTCACCGACACAATGATACAGTGTAACGTGCCGAGACAATACCAACCGGCAAGACAAAGATCGAGCAAATAATTCGCTGGTAAACATGGGTGATTTACCCAAGCGGTGACTCGATGTTACCGGCGTCCAGTACACGCTCCGCGAGAATCCTCTGGACGATTTTAATGAGAACGCAGAACCGCCGATATGATTTTCCAATTCGGAATACTCTTTCTCTCTCTATATATATATATGTGTGTGTGATGACAACGATAACGACGACGATGATGATAACGCCGACGAGAACGACAACAATAACGACTACGGCCGTGTTCCAAAATTCACTTTCAGTGCTGAAAAGTTATAGTTTGCGTGACAAACTATGTATTTTCAGTACTGGCGGTAAATATTGGAACACGGCCAATGACGATGACGATGATGACGGTGACGATGATAACGCCGACGAGGACGAGGACGACAACAATGACGTCGACAAAAATAATGACGACGGTGACTACAATAATGACAGTGACGACGACAGCGACGGTATATATATATATATATATATATATATATATACTACATGGGCTGAAAAGTCTTTGGCCTGACATATAGATGGCGCCACAAACTAAAAATCCTTATATTTCCTATAGAGTAGCAACCTTAACTTAGATGCTGTAAAAATTTCATGATATTTCGTTGACTCGTGTACAAGTTATAGCTTTCGAAGTGACGTTACCTCTGAATTTATCTTTACTATGGAAAAAAGTGAATTTCGTGTTTTGATTAAACATTGCTTCCTGATGGGAAAAAACACTGTTGAAGCAAAGGCATGGCTTGATAAATGTTACGGCACATCTGCCCCACCGAATTCAACCATCAAATATTGGTTTGCTGAGTTTCGTCGTAACCGTACGAGCACAAATGATGCACCACGTTCAGGAAGGCCAAATGAGGCAGTTACTCCAGAAAACATCCAGAAAATCAGTGAAATCGTGTTGAATGACCGCAAAATGAAATTGAGTGAGCTAGCTAACATCATAGGCATCTCAAAGGAACGCGTTGGTCATATCATTAATGAATATTTACACATGAAAAAGCTTTGCGCACGTTGGGTGCCGCGTTTTTTGACAATTGAGCAAAAAGCGGAACGTGTTCGACTTTCAAAGCAAAATCTGGCCCTGTTTAACCGCAATAAGAAGGAGTTTTTGCGTCGATTTGTCACAATGGATGAAACATAGATCCATCACTACACACCGGAGTCCAATCGGCAGTCAGCGGAGTGGTTATTGCCTAGTGAAAGCCGTCCGAAGCGCCCGAAGACACAACAATCAGCCGGCAAGGTTTTGGCCAGTATTTTTTGGGATGCGCATAACATAATATTCATTGATTATCTTAAACATGGTAAAACTATCAATAAAGAATATTACTGTACATTACTGGATCGATTGGACGACGAGGTCAAGGTCAAACGGCCACATTTGGCAAAGAAAAAAATTTTGTTTCACCAAGACAATGCTCCAGCTCACTCGGCTCGCGATACGACCGATAAATTAAAGAAATTGCGCTATGAATTGGTCCCGCATCCCCCGTATTCTCCAGACCTGGCCCCCAGCGACTATTTCCTTTTTCCCCGACTGAAGCAGTGGCTCGCTGGTAAAAGATTTTACTCGAATGAGGAGGTCAAGTTGGAAACAAATGCCTATTTTGAGGGACTTGACACCGAGCACTATAAGACCGGCATCGAAATGTTAGCGGACCGTTACACTAAGTGCATTACTCTAAATGGAGATTATGTCGAGGAATAAAACACTTTTTTCATTAAAAAAATCGTTTTTTCATTGTTAAGCCAAAGACTTTTCAGCCCATGTAGTATATGTATATATATATATATATATATATAAATGTATATGTATATATAAATAAATGTATATATACATATAAATTATAAATTAAATTAACTCTATATATATAGAGAAAGATTAATATATATATATATATAGCTAATTTAATTGTAATGTACAATAATTTAATGTAGACACCACATGTGAGGTTGTGGTTGGTACGTACGACATATGTGCGACATACGACACGTTTTCCAACTGACTGTGAACGCAACCTAATAAACGTGCGGCCGAGGGAAGAAATACGAGAGAGTTTCAACCACTAATCTTTTTATTAGCTACACAGATTGAAAAATCCTTGTGCACAATGAAAGTATTTATAACAACGAAGTCTGGAAAGCAGAGTTTTATGTAAAATTCGACAAAAGATTTAACAACTACAGTTTCATTATCATAATATTACTCTACGCATGAAACAGACAAGGATAGTACGATTGTGTCTGCCTGCAGCTCCATCGATTACGATTATGCGGAACTAATCTTCTGTTCTGTTTTACCCCAAAATGTAGGAAAAATATTCCGCACACACACACATCTCAGCCATTTTTTCTCAAATACTATTCTTTTTACACTGATTTCTGAGCTCATTTCTATTACTTTAGTATTATTCTTTCATATCATGGCTAGTATGGAAGCAAAAGCTTTTGCACGGACAAACTGCAGAACTGTTATAATTAATAAGTAAAGTTACGAGCTGATAGCACAGAACATGATAACGAAAACTGTAATTTTTTAATTTTTCATTAAATTTTACATAAAACTCTACTTTCTAGACTTCATTATTATAAGTACTTTCGCTGTACAAAAGGATTTTTCAATCTGTATAGCTAATAAAAATAGTATTTGAGAAAATTGAATCAATTTGTCGGTAAAACAGACGACTCCAGGATCCCCTTAACACTCATCGAAAGTATGATTATCACTTAAAAAAATATAATTTTTTCTTTGATGTTCCGTTTTCTGTTGTATGTGTAGGTTTTCTATTGTATATATAGATCTTACTTTAAACAACATCGAAAATGCAATGATTATTAAGCTTTGATAGAAAACGGAACATGAAAGAAAAAAAAATTGTATTTTACTTAGGTGGTAATCATAATATTTTCGATGGTGTTTAGAATAGGATTTAATCAATATAAATTTTTTTGCGATGTTGACAACTTCCTGTAGACACTGTCTTGTGATATTGCATTTAGGGGACAATATAAGACTACAATAAATTTTAGTTGTTTATGTTACAGCGTTATTTAAATCCCCTATGTTACAGAGTGTTAAGTTGTGCT